AATGTAAATCGTACTTACATATTAATTTAAGCTGGAAAAAAATTGAAAACAAATAGTATTAGTATAAAACATAATACATAAATATTTCAAATTAATTCTACAAAAACAAAACTTTTTACAATTTTAACAATTTTTTTCTCAATATATAAAAACATTAAAGGAAATACTACATACAAACGGAAGTATATAAAAAAAAATTTCCGAAAAATACAAATTAAAAAAATGTATATTTTTTGTAATTTTATAATTTTTTTAATATTAATTTTTATAAAAAAAAGTTTTTTGATTTTTGCAAATTACCTCCCTTTACTAAAAATAGGTTAACAATTTGCCAAACGGCTTTGCAGCACACATTAGATCAACTAATTTTTCTTCTTCTCACCTTTACCACCGCACGCCCTCAATTTTTCATCAATTACCCCACGCTAACGCCATTAGAAGCCTTTCTTTGTGCCCCAAAAGCCTTTAAAGATTTAATGAAAAAGATGTCCCCAGCAACACACTTAACTGTGCGGTTGCGCAGTTACCACAAACAAAGAGAAGATGAAATACCAACAACAAAAAATTAAAGAAATCTGTCTTTAAAGAAAACCCGCCCGAAAAAAGGCACATTCGGCGGTGGCAAATGACAATTGACAGACGCCTGAGTGCGCGCGCACAAAGGTGAGTGCTGGGTGCGACAGCTAACGTTTTGTCGGCGGCACACTGGCAATGACACTCGAGCAGTACACGTGTACTGACAAAACTGGTAAGTGATACGGCTGCAGATAGCAGTCCTAAGCAGCTGGAAGTGGATTACACATGGTTGGGAAGATGATAGAAGGAGTTGCAAAAAAACGTAGAAAAAAGTAGAAGAAATAAGTTGAGAAAAATTAGAAAAAAAACAGATGGAAAACATTTAAAAAAAACTCAAAATAATTTTGAAAAAAAGAATGCAAAAATAAAAAAAAACACTACAAATAAAAAATAGAGCAGTACAAAATCTAAGGTTCGAGAAAATTGCTGTCAAATGCTTTTGTGTCAATGCTCTTAGCATGCGTTGAAGCGTGTGCGCAGGTGTGGCGTGCGACTGCGTAGAAGGGTTAAGTGAAAAGAAATGTTTTTTAGATTTTAAGTGCAGCAATGTCTCAAATTGCTGCTATTTTGTGGGTTGCAAGCAGTATAAATTTTTTGGTTTTTAATCTAAAAATATTTAAAAAGAAAATTGAATGAAAAT